CTGGGCGCTCAATAGCTTCCGCCACCTTCAGGCTCCAGCCCAATTCGGGGCAGGCTGGTGGGCAGCTGGGGGCTGAGGCAGGGAAACCTGAGCACTAGGCCACGAGGTCCTGGGCTGCTAATTTTAGAAAGCACATGTCACTGGAAACTCTCCTCCTCTGCCAGGAATCGATGGCCTGGCTCTCCTAGTGCTGCCAGGGGCCCCAGGGAGCCTCTCCCTAAACCAGGAACCTCGGGCATCTCCTGGCCCGGGTGGGCCCTTTCTGTCCTGAGTCCTTCTGGAAAGGGGCTCTGCCGAGGCCCTGGACAGCCATGCCTTGGGCCAGGGAGGTAGCTCACCTGGTCTGCTCTCTGCTTTCTCCAGCCCTTCCAGGCTGCCCCTGGCTGTGAGCAGAGGCTTTGAAGGCCTGGCTGGGCAAGGAGGCCACTTCGGCTCTTCTGAGCAAGCGGTTTGTTGTTGAAGCACCCTGAACCAAGCAGATTTGTCTCCTCCTTCCCCCAGGCCCTGTGTGTCCCTTGCCTTTTGAGGTATGTGGCAGAGGTACCCCTGCCTCGTTTTGACTGTTTGACCAAGTCCTTCCCTCCTCTCTTTCTGCCGGCTAACATTTCAGGGCAAGGGTGAACCAAGGGAAATGCAGTGGTCATTTCCTCTGCTTGGGGACCAGCATCTGCCTCCAGGTGCCACCTGTTTGCCTGTCTCTCCTGGCTGCTTCAGATAGGCAGTGTGTGCCTGTGTCCTGATTCCTCTACACCCTCCAGCCCAAGAAGACCTCATTTGGGGCGCTGTTACATAACGGATATGTTCCGGTGCAGCCTGCATGACGGGTTGGGAAGGAGGTTGGCCAGAAAAGAGAGTTCTGTCTTATGTCGGGACCTGGGAGCTGTTCCGTGTTAGTTTAGAGAGTATAGTGGTTTTGAGCCCAGGTTCTGGAGTCAGGCAGACGTAAGTTGGAATTCCAGCCACGTCCATTTCTGGTACATTGATTGACGCTGTTGAATATGTTTCCTCCTCTATAAGCTGGGGCAGCGATAGTAAGTTCCTGGTCAGGTAGATGTGAGAATGCGGCCGGCATGTTGGAAGTGCCTGCATTGATGAGCTGCTCTCGTTACCTTACCGAGGCAAGCCCAGCCTCGCAGGGAGGAAGGTGGTGCTGTGGCTTGTCTGGCATGTCTAGGCCCTGATCTAGAAAGTGACATGTTCTGGGACCTCATGCTGTAGTGAGGCTCTTCCCAGCCCCTCAGGACTCTGCTTCCAGCCCCTCCCTGAGCCATCCCCCAGAGCCAGAGGGTGGCTGTTGGGCACAGCAGCAGAGGACAGCTCCTGGGCCCCACCTTTTCCCTCACACTGCCAGCGCCAGGTTGGCGGCTTCTTGCTCAGCTGCCCTGGCAGGACGGCAGGCCCAGGCGGGAGCCAGGTGTGGGGTGGGAGCAACCAGGAGGCGCTCCTGCCAGCCCTTCATGCTCTTTTCCTCACTTCTCCCTTCTTTTTGTAAATAATTGCAGCCTGCTTAGACGCCTGGTGACTCTCATCTCACAGCAGGCCACACTGCTGGCCTCCAATGAAGCCTTTAAAAAGCAGGCGGAGAGCGCTAGTGAGGCAGCCAAGAAGTACATGGAGGAGAATGACCAGCTCAAGAAGGTGAGCCCCACCTTCCCGACCCACCACGGGGCGTCCTGGTGCCACACCATGGGAGCCATCTTCTTAGGGCCTCAGTGGCCACTGGTAGCCTATCAGGCTGGGAAATGTGTGAAATTCCTGCTGCTTGAAAAGCCAGACTTGGGTGGAGCCGCAGAGGGAAGTCCTCAGTGGGGAGGGTGTGCCTGCTGGAGGCGTCTGTGTGGGAGGATCTGGGCAACTGCGTCGCCTTTAGCTTGCGAGGGCTTGGTGAGGAAGAGGGTGCTGCTGCTCTTGTTTCCATCCGCTGCTTTCAGTCAGATGCTTCCCAGAGAAAAACGGCCCCTCAGTGAGCCAGGGCCTGCACTGTGAACCGAAGGCCCTCAGCTAGGCCCTGGTTCTCTGGAAGACTGCTGCACCCTCTCGAACTCGGGGTCTGTGGCATCCCTCAGTGCTGGAGAGAAGGTGGGGACAGGGTGGTTGGCCAGTCCTAGGCCTCCTGTTGGGAGGCGAGCTGCGAGCTAAGCTCGGAGGGATGTGATGCAGAGGTGGGATAGAGCTGGCCAGGCAGACTGGGGGCTCCTGGCTGCAGCGAGCAGCACCGCACGGGGCGCAGAAGGCACCACCATCCGCTGATGGCTTGGTGAGCGCCATGGAGCCGCTGAGCCCTGCTGCTCAGGAAGGAGGCAGGGCCAAGGGCCAGGGCAGGCAAGGCGTGCCTGGCGAGCTGCAGCAGGTGGCCCTGCTGGCGCTTCTCTTTCCCTCGGCGTGCAGCCACGCCCTGGCCTTTGCCTAGGAGCTGGGAGCAAGTGGTGGCTCGGTTCCGCGCTGACATTTCCGAAGGGGCAAGTGTCCAGGGCAGCTTGAGGAACCGCCGCTCTGTGGGGAGGATGGGGCTGGAGCCCCTCCCTCCCTCCTTCCCTCAGTAACCCTGGCCTTTGGCACTTTTCCCAGGGAGCTGCTGTTGATGGAGGCAAGTTGGATGTCGGGAATGCTGAGGTGAAGTTGGAGGAAGAGAACAGGAGCCTGAAGGCTGACCTGCAGAAGCTAAAGGACGAGCTGGCCAGCACTAAGCAAAGTGAGGCTTAGCCCTGTGTCCTCCCCTTCAGGGAGGTCCAGAGGAGGCTCCTCTGCCCACTGCTGCCTGTCTTATGCCAAAGTATTAGTAATAAGCCTCGCACGCACGCACGCTTGAGGGCTGGTTGAAAACAAATTAGCACCCTGTGCCTCCAACCCCAATGCGGCCACGCTTAGCCTGCAGGCCGTTGAGGCTAAGTGGTTTGAGCGGGTCCTAGGAGGAACCAGGCTGCAGCTGCAGGGCCTCGATTGCCCCGCGCTAGAGCAGTGCACCCTGGGACTTTCCTGTCCAGAGTGTGGCACAGGAGCCTCAGCATGCCTGGGGGCTGAGAATAAGGGGAGTGTGGGAGTGGCGTTCAGGAAGGGAATGGGTGGCTCCCAAGTGGCCTGCCTGTCTTTGCTCTCCCACGCGTAGACTAAGTCCGGGGCGTTTTCCCCAACACCACAGGCCTCAGCTGCTGCTGCTCTCTGCAAGCACGGTTGTCATCAGGGGTCTTGCTTTCAGGCTGGGATCTCACTGCCTGCCTTTGGCTCTCAGCCTCCCTGAAGGTGACCCCGGCTGAGAGCCACTAGAGTTTCCTCCATTAAAGGGACTAGGGGACATCCTCTGTATTTCTTTGACTTTATGTAGCTTTTTTGTCAGCCCTTTCCCTCTACTTTGGGACCTGCAAAATAAGAGGGGCTTTATTTGAGAAGTGGGCTCCTATATAGCCTCATTTGAGATAGATTTGGGTTAGTTTCTGGTATCTGTAGCAATCGAGTTTTCCCCCCTACTTCCAGCCTTTTCATTTCTCTTTTCTTGGTCATTTACATCATTTCCAGAACTAGAGAAAGCTGAAAACCAGGCTCTGGCCATGCGGAAGCAGTCCGAGGGTCTCACCAAGGAGTATGACCGCCTGCTGGAGGAGCATGCAAAGCTGCAGGTCAGCTCTCCCATGCTGCCGCGTCCAGGGCAGGAGAGCAGAACAGGATGGGGCAGCCCCTGCAGGGGGGAGGGAGCCTTCCGGAGGCCTAGGGGCCGGCTGCCTTCTCCCCTACTCCCGCTGGCTGCCTCTGCCCTGCTGCGTGGGACCCTTCACTGGGCAGGAGAGGGGTGGCCCTCAGGAGTGGCGCTGGCTCACTAGGCTCTCAGCCTTCCTACCTTCGTGCTCAGACTCAGTCCATGGTTTGCGGCCCCATCAAGAACAGAAGCAGGTGAAACTCTGGGACCCACTGCTGGCTTTCTCTCCTAGAGTGCTGCTGGTGTGACATGGGGCAGACACCCCTGGGCAAGTGAGGGCACAAGGTGCCAAAAAGGCGCCTCCCCCAGCAGGCGCTAGCTGTTACCATTGCCTGCTGCCCCAGGCCTCGTCCGAGTCCTCAGACTAGCTTGGGTGCAGCAGGCTGCGTCTGGAAGCTCCGGTGGTCTTGATGTTGGGAGTCAGGGCCACGTAAATATGCCCAACTTTGGACAGCTGGCCTTGGTGCTTGGCGGCCCAAGTTTGGGCACCACAGCAGGTGGGAAGCAAGGATCCAGCCCCAAAGGGGGCACCTATATCATCTGTATGGGGCAGGCTCTGCAGACGGGACTTGGGCCTTGAGGGCTCCTGTCAAAGGTGTGCAGAGTTGGGAAGGGCCTGATCAGGTCTTAAAAGGGCCTGGCAGGCCCTGCTGTTCCCCACAGCCAGAACTCGGCCCCCAGTGAGGTCCCGGTGGTCCTCCCTGGCTGGTGTTAGGTCTGGGGCTCTCCCTAGAGTGTGGGCAAGGGCTCACTCTCCCACCCTGGCAGGTCTTCGGATACAGCTGGGGAGGGGGGCCCTTGCTCACTTGAATATCTGTCGTTAGGGGAGAGGAGACCCAAGCTTGGGCCTCGGGAGGCACGGGGCTACAGGTGGCAGGGGAGGGGTGGGCCCAGCCAACCTACTGCTGTGGGATTTCTGTCCCTTTCCAGGCTGCAGTAGATGGTCCCACGGACAAGAAGGAGGAGTAAGGGCCTCCCTCCTCCCCTGCCTGCAGCCGGCTTCCACCTGGCACGTGCCTGCTGCTTCCTGAGAGCCGGGCCTCTCCCTCTGGTACTTCTGTTTGTGCTCTTCTGCTTCCCCCATTTCCTTCCACAGCACATAGCTCGTCATCTCGGCCCCTGTCCACACTCTCCCAGCACACCACAGGGGACCTGATTGCTACAGGTTCAGAATGCATTTGCTGTCATCCTGCTTGGCCTGGCCAGGCCTGGCGGCCCTAGCTTCCACGCTTGAGCGTGGAGGGCTCGGGTTAATTGCAGTCTGGCTTGCGGTGGGGCTGGCTTCCCGTAGATTGGAACGCCCTTTTTGTTTTGCCCTCTGGGCGTTTTCTTTGGTCCCAAAGGAGGGCGGGTGAAGCAGGTGGACTGGAGTTTCTCTTGAGGGCAATAAACATTGATACGGTGTGTACGTGGTGCGGCGTGTGACTACGGCCATGGGGAGGGCTCTGCCTCCTCTCCTGTCCAGAGCTCTCAAGTAGCTAGCCATAGCCCTTCAACCTGTTTCCCCCACTGAAGGCTGGGTTCACACCTGTTCTCGAAGGCCCTGCCCCTCTGCCATCCTGCTCCCTGGACTGGACCAGGCCCCGCTTCAGGGCCACCCGCTGAGTGTGTGTCCTGTCTGCCTCCCTGGGTGTGGGCAGCTTGGGAGGCTCAGTAAACCGGCAAGGCTTCCAGGTAGAGAACTTGCTTGCTTTCTCTGGGTTCCTCTTCGTCACATTTGGGATAGACAGAACATGGCAGAACGCCACTAGTCACTCCCTGCCCCACCCCCTCATGAAGGTTTGCAGGATGACCTCTGACTAATGCCAGCTAGGAGAGGAGACTTGTCCTTGGCAGTGACCTGGAGCTTGCCCAGGGCAGAGCTAGGCAGAAAGGGGCTGGGAATGGGCCGGGGCTCTGGTCCTGCGAACGTGCTGGGTGTGTGCCTGCCACACAGTGTTGTGCTGGCTCCAGGGCATTCCTCAGGTGGCTCCTCGGAGCTGTGTCTTCCAGGCCCACAGCAAGCCGGGCCAGGACTGGGGCTTCCCGCCTGGCGCCAGTGCCCAGGCCCTGCACTGTGCTGCTCTTCAGCAGCGCATGAGGAAGGCGGCCCCTGCCCGCAGCCCTGTGCTACCCCTGCAGGACCTCTGCCATGCCTGGTGTCTGCATGAGGAATGGGTGGAGGGGTCGGGGAGCAGGTTAGAGGTGTGTCTCTTGGAACAGTAGGGGACCCCTGAAGGATGCTTGCTTTTGCCTGCCCTGTCGGGGTCCAGGCCGGTGGTTCCCATCACCCTTCCCCATGCTCAGACAAGCTCTGTCCCTTTCCAGGCAGTCTCAGAAGTGGTGTCTGGGGGAGTAGGGGCCATGTGGGCCATGCCCTCAGGTTGCTGTGCCAAGGCCAAAGGCTGATCCCACTTTTCCAGGAAGTGTTCTTGGCTATCTTGGGCCTCCCTGAGCTCACCCTTCTCTGAGCTTTGAAAGGCTAAAGTCCAGACGGGTACTGCCCTCACCAGCCCTGACAGCCTCTTCCTCCGTTCTGCACGAGGCTGGCTTCTGGAGTGCCCTTTCTAGTGGGGGGATGGAACAACAATGGATCCGGGGCACAGGCCCTTAGAGCTGGAAACTGAGGCATGCGCCCAGCCTGCACTGGAGGGCGGCCTGCACGGTCGCATGTTCCTGGATCAGCGTCTGTTCCAGGGCGTCTGCAGTCGTAGGCATCCTGATCTGTTTTCTTACCCATTTTCTACTAGACTGCTAGCTGCCTGAGGGCAGAGCCTGCTGCTTGTTGATCCCTGTGTCCCAACTCCTGACGCAGGAGCTAAGTCCTGAGGAAATGGTGTCTCTGTTTCGGGACCCAGTTTCAGTGACACACCTCTGTGAAGTTTCCTTTTTTCAATGTCTCTTTTCTGTGTGTTTGGTAGCATTGTGGTGCATGAGGTGGCTTGGAAGGCATTTGGCCTAGAGGTGTGGAGAACAATTTGCAGAAGGTGGTTGTCACGCAGGCAGAGACCTGGCTGACAGTGTATGAAGCAGCTGGCGTGAGCTCAGGGGTCCTGAGGGTGACCATGGGCGGCGGCAGGACAGTTGGAATCAGTTGGGGGCAGGGGCTGTGTGAGGGACGTTGGAAGCGCCTTTGCAGCTAAGGAGGGCCAGGCTGGACGTCTGGGAGCTGCCCGCAGGCAGGGTTCTGGAAGGTGTAGCCATGGTGAGGGGAGAGGCTTTGCAGGGAGAGAAAGAAAACTGGAAACAGCTGTGCTGAAGAGGTGGGGGCGGGGCCCGCAGGACAGGCTCCAGAGTCCCTGGCTGAGGGACTGCACTGCTGCTCCTTTCTCTGCTCCCTGTCTGGTCCGTGTATTTCTCACCTGGGCTCTTCTTGGTTGACCATATTCCAAGCCAGGTCCCTCCCCTGGCTCCAGAAGTGTAGGAGTAAAGCCCCTCCATAGAGGGTGCTGCCTGCTGAGAAGCAGGGCCTCTCCCATAGCACAGTAGCAGTCATGGGCAGGATGCGGAGGGAGCAGCCCAAGCTGTCACTTTGCTCTGAGGGGCCACCTGCTCCCCCTTCACAGGCTTCCATCCCTGGTGCTCTCCGTGCCTGCCTGGGCCACCCACTGCATTTCCTGCGGGTGGGGTACCACATGCTCACCCTGTGCCCCGGGTCCTGCCCCTCGAAGGACCTGTCTGTACTGGCTGCCTCCAGTTCTTCTCCGCCTCTTCTTACCCTGGTAAAACGTGTGTGTATATAAAGTTTATATGTAGTGTCATCAGTGTATATGTAATGAGCCATCATCACCATCCTTAAGTGTGGAGTTCAGTGGCATGAAATGCGGCCACCACTTCCATCTGCCTCTGGAATTTATTTTCTCAAACTGCCACTCTGTCCCCACTCAACACTCTTCACCCCGTCCCCAGCCCCTGGCCCCCACCCTTGCCCTCTGTCTCTGTGGATCCCCCTTCTCTCATGTAAGACCCTGTCTCACAGGAGTGGAACTCCATAGCACTTGTCCCTTTATGATGGCTCATTTCACAGATGCCCTCCAGGGTCAGCCATGTTGTGTCGTGTGTTGGAGTTCCTTCCTTTTCCAGGCCAGCTCATATTCCCTTGTCTGGATGAACTACGTTGTGTCTCTCCTTCATCTGCAGGTGACACTGGGCTGCCGCCATCCCTTTTCTCAATCCCACACCAACCAGCCTTTCGGACACCCCTGCATGCAAGCCTCCCTTGCCAGGCCCCCGTGACCCTCGCCAGACCCAGTGAGTGTTCTGCAGGTCACTGTCCTTCACCAGCAGCTGGACAGATGGAGCCGGACACTGCCCTTCCTTGACCTGTGAGGGGTCCTCACTGGCTCAGGCTACAGGGCACCACCAGGCACTCTTGGGCGTCTTCCCCCCGCCGCCGCACCTCCCCCACTCCTCTCATCGTGTCCTGGGGTGCGCAGCTTCCCTGTGAGCTCTGCCAGGCTCAGGGCTTTCCGTGTCATCTCTGTGTGGTAAGAACTTGCAAAGTTCCATCTCTTTCAGTTCCAGTACTTTCTGGAACTCCTGCGTCCACCTGCTAACTAAACGTCTCCACTTGGATGTCACTTGTGCATCACACACCCAAGGCTGACTCTGGATCATTCTCTCCTTGCCTCCCTGTTGCAGGGCCTGGCAGCTCCACCTTTCCTCTTGCTCAGGCCAAATCTGTCATCCTTAACTCCTCTTTCAGCCCTGCATCCTGGCCACGCACAGCCCCTATTGGCTGCACCTTCAAAATTGATCCCTGATGCAGACTTACTCCTCCGCTGCTACCTGCCTGGCCCAAGTGACACAACCTCTTCCCTGGGTTCTTGCTGTGGCTTGTGGATAAGTTATTGCAAAGACTTATCCCTTCTGCTGCTACCTGCCTGGCCCTGGCCTGCCCCATCACCTGTTTCAGATATTGGAATGCCAGCTGTTCAGTGACAAATTCTTGGGGCAACAATTTGAAAATTTCAGCACCCATGGCTTCCTCGCCGGTGTGGCTGCTCTCCAGCTCACTCTCGTCCTGCTCTCCCCAAGTGCCTCCACTCCAGGGGACGAGGCTTTCCCTGGGCTGCTGCCTTCCCAGTCCCCAGAAGGGGGCCGACACTGGCTGCAGAGGCCACCAGAGCAGAGCCTTGCCCGCCGCAGCAGCTCCAGCTGGAGGAGGTTCCCCTACCTCCTGCACCCCAACCCCTTCTTAGAGCAGCAGAGGCGGAAGCAGGAGCCCGCTTTGGAAAATGACAGGTTTTTATTGCTATGTTTGCAGTGACTTTTTAGCACAGTAAGAATGTCCCTGCAGGCCTGCCACCCTCACCCAGCCCCAGCCCTCCAGCCTCTGTCCGGGTGTGGGGGAAGCCTTTCTCAGGTCACTCAGCTGTCTCGGGACTGGATGTGACACAGACATATGCGGGTGAAAGCTGCTACATGGAAGACTGGAGGTGCAGGAAGTATATCCGCCTTAAGCCTGGAGGTGGGAGCTGTGCCCCGGGTCCCTTCCTGGGGGTCTGCCCAGCCCAGGGCACAGGGCGGGAAGACTGAGCAGGCCAGACACCTAGGACGGAGTATTGCAGCCTCTTGCCCCAGACTTGTGGGCAAAGGGACAGCGTGGGGACAGCCCTGAGGCCCCCACCATGGACTTTTCCAATCCAGTCTGGGGCTGGGGACCACACACGCACGTCCACACAGTAGACTCACACACACAACAGTTGGAAGCTTTTGTTTTGCCTATGAAAGTTAGCTCTATAAATTCACACTCCTTGGCTAGGGGTAGAGGGGCAAGGTGGGGCTTACAGGGATGGGAGTGGCAAGGAGAGGATGGTTTGGGCTCATTTCTCTTTTTAGAAATATACAAGCAGAAATCTCACTCTCTCAAGTTTTTATAAAATGTGCAAAATACAAGCCTCCTTTGCCCAGAGGCAACATTTACATCTGGTATTCACCTTTGCTAAGAGATAGAGATCTATATATACTCGACCTACTCACGCACGCGTGCACTCGCACCCAAGCTCACACAGATTGGTGGCGATTGGCGCAGGAACCAGAAGGTTCCATTGCTGGCTGGCTCTCTAAGCTTCTATAACAGGGATGGGGGAGAGGGTGTAGCCCAGCTGAAATATTGGCCTTAGTTCTGCTGCCCCTCCCTTGCCTCTCTTCTCCTGTCTTCTCCCTCCCGTCTCTCCCTCCTTCCCTTCCTCACGTTTCCCAAGCTGCCACTGCTGCTTCTGGGGTGAGGAGTCACCCAACGGTGTGCCGCAGAGCAGAGGCTGGAGAGGTGGGCAGGGGTGTACATGGCAGGGACAGGAGGAGGGCAGCACTGCGGGCCAGGGGTGGGGTGCTAGTGAGGGCCTGGGACCAGCTTGGCTAGGGCTGGAGGGGGAGAGGCATCTATTTTTGGTGGGTTGTGATATTTTTGGCATTTTATTAAAAATGGAAAAAGTTATTTTCGTGAGCACTCATGGTGCTTTCTCCCCTCCTCCCCCAGGCAGACCCCAAAAGTGTCAGGGAAAGGCAGGCCCCCTGGTGGGGTGGGGTAGGGCTGAAGCAGGGGCTGCTATGGCTACCAGAGGTGAGCTGGTGATGTGAGCTGGA